ATTCACTTGTCAAGGATGTCAAGCTCTCTTCTCTTGGCACTCAGTTTTCAGGCAAGGACAAGAGATTGCAGCCACTGAAATTCATGGAAAAATACATCGACTGCAGAAGCGACTTTTTATTCTATTGCTTTCTCTTTGCAGTTCTATACTATTCTACTTATTGTTCTTTGATTTTGCTCTTTAACTTTTAAAAATATGTCTACCTTTCTGTCAGTTTTCCTATTCAATTAGTTATTGTTTCATTTACCAAACAAAAACAGGTGATACTCTTATTAAGTACTCTAACTGCTGCTCAGAACATCAAAGAAACTGTCGTTTTTTGGACAACTTTTAGGTAGTCTTAACAAATATGACCATATTTTCACTTTTGATCAAATGATAATAATAAAATTATAAACAAAAACAAAAAACAAATAAGACCAATATATTGCCCAACAGCAATATGGCTCATCCAAAGAGACCAACAGCACAACAGCATGAAGCATTAAGTAGCATCAGCCGCAGCATAACATCAATAATTTTTTTCATGTCATTATTAAACTAATAAAGGATTTACCTTATCCTCAGTCTGAAGCAACTGTATTCTTTTAAGTCTCAACCGCACTGCTGCGTAGAATTTCAAGGCATTTCCACCACACGTAACCTCATCTGTAGGTCCAAATTCTTTCCCTGACTTTGGACTTGATCTAATCTGGATACGGAAGAAATGTTACATAGTAAGTATTATTTCTCCTTCTGCAGCTTTTAAGATGGAATTTTGAACAGACAATTAATAGGTTATAATGTTTATAAGTACAGTGGTGATAACCTGGTTAATAAAAACAATAAGGGTACGAGAATGGGATAATGAAGAATGTATTTTTCGTAATGCTTGGGTTATGATTCTTGATTGTGCATCTCGGTAGTCACTATCAATTTCAGCATCAAGTTCGCACTGGGGGACCAGGGCAGCTACCTGAAATATCAAAACATGCCAAATATTAAATTGATAGTTTTTATATCCTCAAAAGACTTTAAAATGATTAATAGTGATTATCTACATCTATGACAGCACAGCAGTGTAAATTAATTAACCAATGAAAAGGAAATACAGGTCCAAGAATGAACTCTCTAAGTTCCATTCAACACTGAACTGATCTCAGTTTATATATTTCATTAGTTAGTCACACTGCATTTCAGTTCCCAGGTCTATCTAATTGTATAAGAGGTAACTTTCTTAGATTCTGAAAATTAAAATACAACAGTCAGAAAGTGTCACCTTTCCTGTATAACTTGATAGCATAACTTGGAAATGACAGAGGGTTCTTCAAACAGAAATGATAGCATACATATATGTATAGACATGTCAGTATATCTGTAGAAATATTTGGTGCACTTAAAGATTGGCATTAAAGGTCAATAAAATAAAGATTAGTGTTGAAAAACAGGTAGATGTATCTTTAGTCAGAGTATCAATCACTTACACTATCAACCACAATTACATCCAAAGAACCACTTTTAGTCAGAGTGTCAACAGCACATAGCATATTCTCAGCAGAATCGGGACGCGAAAAGAGAAGGTTTTTGGTGTTTATACCCATAGATTCTGCAAGTGAACATTCCATGGCATTCTCTATATCAAGAAATGCACAAAGTCCTGCCAAAAGGACAGTCCAGTTAAGCAAATATAATAACAGACTTGAAATATACGATATAGAACAATATAATTGAAGGCCATCACTCATTGAATAGGTTGCATGTCTATGGAGGGAACGTAGGGGTAGAAACTTTTAGGACCTTGAGCATACAGTCCACCAATTATACTCTATTACCCTCTCATGCCTAAATCACTAGATATCAGTTCCTATTTCGCTTAGTGTTCAACCATACAAAAATTTCAGTTTTCCATCCATAAGAAGATAGCTTCCATCTGTGTGTACCTTCGTGTATTGGGGGGCAATTTTTTTTTTTTTTTTGAGTTATATAATATTATATATACACAAACACAATGGAAAATAACAAGATAAGATAATTTACTCTATATACAGTAGCTGATCGGAGTTTCAACAAAGATGAGCAAAATGACATTTCCAATACAAAGAATGAGATGATACACACCTCCAAGCTTTTGAGCCTCCTTGATGATGTGAAGTGCAAGCGTGGTCTTCCCGGATGCTTCTTGCCCGTAAATTTCAATGATTCTTCCCTGCAGATGGCAATGCACATTTCTCACTAGGGTTTTACAATTGACACTATTTCATCGATTTGCAGCTAAAATTGAAATACAAACGAATTCAATGCACCTATTTTAAATTATTAGTAACTACCAGCATCTTTTCGTCCTACCATCATCAGGGCATACAGGGTAACAAATAGCAATGTCCATCGAAAAGTAATGAGTAGTCGATGATTTAATTACCTTGGGTAATCCTCCAATCCCAAGAGCTAGATCAAGCTTCAAGGAGCCAGTGGAGATGACAGGCGGACGTCTTGATCGAGAAAACCGCTGCATTGACATCATAGACTCCCGGCCAAAATCACCGGAAAGCCGTGAGAGAGCCGAACTCAATGCATCTTCTTTCTCCCTTGCTTTGGCATCGTCATTATCATCATGATCCAACAGTCCATCACATTCAGCTGCCATCAACACACACCATCATCAATGTTTCTACACATAACAAGCTCTAAAATTTCCTACCGAATCAATGCGAAAAATTACCGGCACAATTTGTCCAATGTCTTCTTCCTCTCTGGGCATAAAACACCAACAAAATCAAAATCCAAATTAAATCATTTGGAATTTAAATTCTACAGCAGGTTTATAGAGAGAGATACCTGGAGGAAGGAGCAAAGTACGGAAGAAAGACGAGGTTGCTTGAAGGCAGCCAGACCAAGCCGCTGTGCAAGCGGAGGACGGAGAAGCAACCCCATTCGCCGACGGGTCTGCTCGTAGATTAATGGTGGTCTGAGGGTATACGATGGAAGATAAGCTTTTGCGGGTTTTAGGGTTTTTGAGTTCCGGAGGTGTGGCGCCGCTCTATGGTGGGTGTGGGCGGGAGAGAAACGGGTGTTGGATCGAATATGGGAAATTGTGTCGAATATGAGTTGTTGGGTCGAATGTCGGGAGTAGGGATGGCAATGGTTACGGCGGATGGCTTATTTACCCATAACCATGCTCGGACCCGCATAATCGTTCACTTGTTGAGTAGTTGCCTAAATGATTATACTCGTACTCATAATCGTTTATAAATGGTTAATCATACCTATAATCTCATACCTATTTAACCGTAATCGTTTAATACTTGTTTAGCCCTTTATCCTTTTTAACCCGTTTATCTTTTTTTTTTTATCATTACCCTTTTTTCACCAGTCTACATGTTTTTTAACAACTTGAAAATTAAAAAAAATATTCATAATTTTCTTTTTTTGACAATTAAACATCGTTATAGGTACATTCATCATACATTTCCATATTTTAATTTTTTAAATCCTTACACCATTCCAATAATTGAAATAATAGTTTAGGGACGATATTTTTAACTGTTACCAATGAATGTAAAAATAATATTTGCTAAGTATTATTAGGTTACAAAAATTGTTTAAAAGACATTTCTGTCAATTTCACGGTTACCCGCAAGGAATTTAAATTAATATGGCCAATTCCTTGATGATGAGAATCATCATTCCTATAGCAGTGTTATTGAGAGAAGGACCGATGAATTCCTTGCTAATTTATTGAGTGCTAAGTATTATTAGATCGAGAACATGGTTTGTGTTAGTTTTACATATATAAAATAAATGGGTAAATGCTTATCCGTTTATAATTGCGGTTAATACCCATAATCGTTTATTTATCTAAACAGTTACCCATAACCGTAACCGTTTAATTTAAATGGGCGAGTAACCGCGGTTACCCATAACCAATGGGTATTTGCCTATCCCTAGTCGGGAGAAAGGATCCAAGCCGGATCTCTTTGCGAGGATGCTCGCGAAGATCCTCCAATCGTATCTGTTCATTGTATATCGTGCGGTCATTATTTTGTCAGGTATTGTTTATATCTAATTTTAAATAAAAAATTTACAATAATTTATGACCGCATGATGTACGATAAATAGATATGATTGGAAGATCCCCAGGACTATGGGTGGGAAATTTTGCCATAAACTAATTTACCAACCGAACCATATCAATCGGCTCATAATGGTATGATATAGTTTTGGCATTTTACCCAACTGACAATTAATGGCATGGCTTTAGCAATTGATTTTGTATGCCGGTAGTATGTCATACCTACCCCATATATATACATATATTTTTTTTTCTATTTAGATATTTTAGGAATTTTTTACATGTTTGACTCCTCAGTTTTAGGGTTTAGAAAATAAATGACTCCTTCGTTTTAGGGTTTGAAAAATATATGCACGACTTCTAGCAGCCTTCTCTTAATTTTCTTATTCTTTTCAACGCACACCTCCCTGTCATCCGGTCAACTGCTATCTCTGCCAGAAATCTTCTTCTTCTTCATTAGCTTTCAAATTTAGGTAAATATTTGTGAAACCCTTCTCTTGGGGATTTATTGCGATGCTTTATGCATATCTTACGTATTTATAGTATTGTTGTATTCTAGTATTATTTTTAAATGAATTTTTTTCTGTTGTATCCTCTCATTTGGGGTTAGAAGATGTACGCATATATCATAAGCCCTAACACCAATCGATCGATCATGTAGAAAAGTTGAACTATATTTTATCTTTTTTAAGCAAAATTGTAGAAAGGCACAATAAAGATATATTCTTGATTTGACAAATTTGAGATTTTAGTAAACCACCAGTTGTGCCATTTACCAACCAAACCAAAAAATAATTTTGGCCGAACCAATTTTTGGCAACCGCAAGAAGATGGTTGGTTGGCGGTAACTGATTTTCAGTAAGTAAGTATATGTGGTTGGCAGGTGGCACAAAGAATTTGGCATGGTTTGCCAACCGAACCCAGCCCTACCCAGGACCCTCACAAAGAGAATATGGCGATGATCCTCCTGGGAATGTGGGGTGTTGGATGGGGTGGGCAAGGTGCGGTTTTATGCTCAAATTGGAATAGGTATTCGAAAATATCAATGGTTCGGTTCAGTGCATTTTTTAAAATTTATTATTAAAAACTATACGATTTGGTTTGGTTCATACATGTTTACAGTACTGAATAATCATTTAAATACCAAATCAAAATGGTATTCAACTTGGTTTTTCTTTCTTTCTTTTTTTTTTTTTTTTTGCATGCTTGAATTCAAATATGACTTCTAAAATGGTTAAATAAAGTTACAAACAAAATAAATCTTTTTTTTAGTATATCAATATTTTTATATTAAGGAGAGTGGGAGTTCGGCCAAATCACACAATGGACAGCCTAATTTGGTATCAAATTCGCCATCCACAAGATTCAAACTTAAGATCTCTCACTTCCAAGTGAAGATGAATACCATTAGACCGTAGTACTGAGTGGCAAAACAAATCATTTTTAGAGACTAAATCAAAATGCAAATGTCCTTGATACCAAGGTTACAAAAAAGAAACACAATTCAAAGGTACATATATAGATTCAAAAATACAAATATACGTCCACACATAAAATACATTCACTGTGCAATAAGAATGTTAGCATAAATGCAATAATTTAAGTCCAAAAAGGACTTACCAAGAAACTAAAACAAGGCCCAGGAAAAAGGGAAAGGAAAAAGCAAGAAGTAACTGAACATCTAAGATCATTCCATCTAAAAATATGAAATTGAAACCAGAATGTCAAATTTGGAGATCTACTCTTTTTTTCAAATATGTGCCTTATCTTAATAGGTGAACCGTGAAAGTGAAAGGCCTAATTGAGAAATGCTCCCGTGCAGTCGCACTAGGTGAAACCAATTTGGTTTTTATCACTCATTTAGTGACACATGTATACAACTATTAAATTTAATTAATTATTTATAATCATGTTTTGGTCCTGTTCAGAGTGGTTCTGCCAACATAAAAACTGGAACTGGAGCCGGTCTAAATAGTTTAGTTCGATTCTTGAACTTGCGTTGACTTTTTTTTGTTAACACAAATTTTTCCAGTTTATATTGTCGCATTCGTATTCGGTTTGGTGGTTCCACAGTTTTTATGTCCACCCTAGGTGCAGGAGATCCAAGTGTCGGCTTTGGTGGTGGCACAGGGATCAAGCTGCGGCGTGAAAATGGGTAGAAGGGTGGCGCCGCCACTCTCACTCCAATTTTTTCAGAAATGTTAGGTTTTGGGAAGAAAGTTTAATTCCAAACACAATACTCAAGTGATCAAAACCAAAACAATAATTATAAATAGAAAAAAACATCATAATATGTGATTTTGGTCAAAACAGTGACACAATCTATTTCAAGTGAAACATTGTGTAGGTAGCTTTTATATGTTTGATTCATAATTTTAGTAATATTTAATCATACTATGTATCTTTTTTTTTCGGTAAATTACATTGTACCTCATCAGGTTTGAGATCTATTACAATTGCATACAACATCTTCAAAACATTTCACTTTCATACCCCCTGCAAACAAACCCAAAAACCTTCCCCCCCCCACCCCCGACCCACCTCCTTCTCCTCCCATCACCACCACAGCCATTCCCCATCACCATCGCAACCCCTAGACCACTCCTCCCTCTTCACCTTCCCGATCCACGTTCTCCCTCCTCCACTTTCTTCATCTCCCCTTCCCTAACTGAGACCTACCGCCGAAGACGACGCCGAACCAAAAATCCAAATCATTATCTCCGAACCATTTATAGAGCCTCGCTTCCAACTCTTTCCCTTCCCTCAGCCCCCTCCCCCCGCCGCCACTCAACCCCTCGCCTCCCTCTCCTTCGCTATCTCCGACATCTCTCTCTCTCTCTATCTCTCTCTCTCTCTCGTTATTTGCATTTATTGGCAATATTTTTTTCGTGATTCTTTCTGATTTGGTTTATGGGTTGGTGGGTTTGTTTCAGATTTGATGTGAAGGGTTATGTGACGGGGTTTGGGAGTCCCGATTGGGCCCGAACAAGGGGTGAAGAGAGTGGGTCTCTGGGGAAAAAGAAGGGAGGGTGGTCAGAGTGGGCCCCGTTACGGCGAGTAGGTGGAGGATGAGTGTGAGGAGGAGAGGGTTGGACATGATGGCGATGAAGAGCATTGGAGGTGGAGGGGTTTGGGCTCGATGAAGGTGATGGGGGTCGGGAGGGGAGGGAGAAGATGGGTTTATGGGTTTTCTAGGTTTGTTGGGTTTTTTTTTTTTAATTTAAATAGTGGAGAAGGGAGAAGGTGGGTCGGGAAGGTGAAGAGGGAGGAGTGGTTTGGGGGCTGCGATGGTGATGGGGGTTGCGGTGGTGATGGGAGGAGAAGGAGGTGGGTCGGGGGGGGGAGTTTCTGGGTTTGTTTGCAGTGGTGGGGGGTTACGCGGAGGTGGGTTTCAATTTGGGTTTTGTTTATTTTTTCTAAGGGTAAATTATTATAATATTTTAAATGAATTAAAAAAAATTGCCACGTAGCACACATTTGACAGCCGTGTGGCACAACTGTGGCCACCATGTCAGCTCTTAACAGATTAATGAATGAAAAATGTAACGGATGTATTATATTAAAATAAAACAGTAGGTTAGGTATGAAAGTGAAATATTTTGAAGATGTTGTATACGATTGTAATAGACCCCAAATCTGAGGGGGTACAATGTAATTTACCCTTTTTAAAAATAAAAAAAAAGGATTAGTTGGTGGTTTCGCCATAGCAATCCATTGTTTTGGGGGCCTAAAAGACTTACAGAGACATTTCAGCCTCCTTTTGACCATCATCGTATTATGTATCCACGTTATAAATATCATAAATACACCAATATGCTAGATGGAAGAGGATCCTCTTCGGATTCACTTTGTGGGGATCCTAGGGATTTCCACATTCTTGTCATTCATCGTACATCGTGCAACTAGTTTTCGTCAGGTATTATTTGTGTTTAATTTTAAATATACAAAATCAAATGATTTCTGACCGCACAATGCACAATGAATGACTAAGATATAAGGATTCCTATGATCTCCACAATTTAGATCGGATGGGAGCCAAATCCATGCTAGATGGGTTCAAGAAAATGCTGTTACATATTTAAGCGAGTGACCTACCATTTTGCTGACTAGTCACTCCAGTTACCTTCCACAACTTCCGATATAGTATTACCATGTTCCTAATAAACAGCAAATGTTTGTATCGAATTATGAACCACATGTTACCAAATATATTTGGTTTGCTTTTTATCGACTTGTGAGCATTTGGTGTCAAATTTTATGCATTTGGTTACGTTTCCCTTCCAATCCTAAAATTATGTTGGGATAACACTTATGGCCAGTTTGATATTACTACGTTTTTTTTTAACTGCTTTTGAACTTTATTAATAATCAGCTATAAAAAAAATAAAATAAAATATAAAAAAAAAAAAGTTTAGCGTTTGATAAACTACATTTTAAAGGTGGTCTGAAAAACAATATAAAAGCATTTGAGAAATTTCTATGTAAAATGATATAAATGTATATAATGACAAAAAGGGACATTATAGTGAGGGTGGTGGAGATGGCAATGGTGGTGTCGGTGGTGGTGGCGGCGACGGTGATAGTGATGGTGGTGGCAACGGTGATGGCAACGACAAAAGTGGGGATATAATGGTGGTACCTATAGTGGAGTGTGGTGGTTGGGGTGTAAAGGTAACAATGGTGGTAGGGGTAGCGGCATGAACAATAGTGGCAGTTGTAGTCGTGGTGACAATAGCGGCAGCTGTGGTTATGATGGCGGTGATGGTAACAACGATAGTGGTGGCAATGAGGGTGTTGTCGGTTATCATTATAGTGGTGGTGGTGGTGGTGGTGGTGGTGGTGGTGATTGTAGCAACAATGATGGTGGTACTGGCAGTGATGGTGTAAGGTTAATATTTGTAGTGCTAAGTGGTGACAGTCACTTTACTCTCCAAGAGATAAAATGAGTGTTGAAGGTTAAATAATGTCATTTTTTTAAAACCAATGAGAGTATTACATAAATTAGAAATATTCATTATACTCAACTCCTCTTAACAACTATTAAACCAACCCTGCAACCCTACACTCCATCTTATATTCTCACCCCCCATAAAAAATTAAAACACTCTTTTTTCACTCACCAATATTCCTAAGGCCATCTCCAACCGATGGCTGTCCAGATGGCTCGTTTTAGCCTTCTGGCCTTCCAAGATCCTCCAAGATATTAGGCCATCTCCAACCGATGGCTGGCCAGATGGCTCGTTTTAGCCCTCTGGCCCTCCAAGATTCTCCAAGATATTAATATTTTAATGAACAGTACATGGCCATATTTGCCTCCATCTCCAACCGAGGGTCAGAGGGCTCGTTTTAGCCCTTTCACAAAAAACCGTCTCCAACCTAGGGCCAAAAGGCTATAAGGCCAAACATAATTTATTATTTAAAAACTACAACTTAAATTCAAATCCAACGGCTAAGTGACGTCAGCTAGCCATTGGTAGCTGACGTCAGCTAGCCGTTGGATTTGATTTTTTTTTTTTTTTTTGCTATAAATAGGGTGGATATTGGGATATAATTCACACAACTTTGAATTCAATCTATTTAAATTCAATCTCTTTCAATTCAAGTTTGCAATGAATTCCAACTTTGGATCCTCTTCAAATTCCAACTGGGGGTCCTCATCCAATTCCAAAATAGAAGCAAAATGGGCGCAAATGAGACGAGAAGATGAGGAGTCTGATGAAGAAGTTCAAGTAAGGCGCAACAAACAAAACATAGCAGCAGTCATAGCTGCGGCCATGGTGTGTCAGCCAACTGAGGAACAACCTCAATGGGGTGGCTCTATTGCTGGTCGCTCTTACAAACCACGAAACAGAGCGATGACGCATGCCAATCTGATGAACAACTACTTCGACCCCAACTCAGTGTACACAGAAGAAGATTTCAGACGTCACTTCCGGATGAGGCGTCATGTCTTCGAGCGTTTTCTTTGTGATGTCCAGCACGTCAATCCGTACTTTCGACAAAAGAGGGACAGAGCAAGCCGCCCTAGTTTCTCACCTCATCAGAAGGTTACTGTTACACTCCGAATGATGACCTATGGCTCCCCAGCTGATTCGATTGATGAAACTCATGGTATGTCTGAGTCTACATGCCTTGATACTCTTCAAGAATTTTGTGACACAATTGTTCAGCTTTACAAAGACGAATACCTCCACGAGCCAAATCAATAAGATATGAATCGGCTCCTTCACAAAGCTGAAGACCGTGGGTTTCCGGGCATGATAGGGTCATTAGACTGCATGCATTGGGATTGGAAGAATTGTCCCACCGGATGGCAAAGAGGCTTTAACGGAAGGTCGAGAAAGCCAACTGTTGTGTTAGAGGCGGTTGCCTTATATGACACATGGATATGGCATGCTTTCTTTGAAGTCCCTGGATCCCAAAATGACATTACAGTTCTTGGGCGTTCACCTCTCTTCAATAACTTGAAGGAAGGTAAAGCACCTCAACTTGACTACTACATCAACGGCCGTCAATACAATATGGGGTATTACTTGGCATATGGCATCTACCCAAAGTGGGTGACACTTGTCCAAGCAATTCCAAACCCTAGGAATGACGTGGAAAAGTTGTTTACCTTACACCAAGAGGCATATCGAAAAGATGTTGAGAGAGCTTTTGGTATTCTACAAGCACGGTGAAAGATCATCAGCGAACCGGCAAGAGGGTGGAGTCGAGAAAATTTGGACTCCATCATAATGTCTTGCATCATATTACACAATATGATAGTGGAGGATGAGCGAGATGGGTATATTGATGGAGAGTCCGATGACGACTAAGAAGATCCAAATAGGTCAAGAAGGGCTCGTGCAAAAATATATGATGAGCCTAATTTGCCTTTCAATCCAATAACTGGTAATATCTTTATAGATGAGTACATGAGGCGCTATAGAATGATACGTTCTCGTGCCACAAACAAGTACCTACAACAAGATCTTGTTGCACATCTTTGGGCCCAAAGAAGCATGGAGTGGGCATTTACGTTTTATGTTTTTAAATATTTTTTAAAATGTTGTTTAAGTTTCATGTTGTATAATTTTTATGTTGGTTAAAGTTATTTAATGTTGTTTTATGTTACTTAATTTAATTTAATGTTGTATAATGGCTTAGGAAGTTATAGGAAAAAAAATAGAATTTAAAAAAATATGAAACAAATTTTGTGAAATAGAAGTTATAGAAAAAATGGAATTTAAAAAAATATGAAATAAATTTTGTGAAATAGAAGTTATAGGAAAAAAAATGGAATTTAAAAAAAATATGAAACAAATTTTATGAAATAGAAGTTATAGGAAAAAAATGGAATTTAAAAAAAAATGAAATAAATTTTGTGCAATAGAAGTTATAGGAAAAAATAGAAGTTATATGAAAATTTTTGTAAATAAAAAATAATAATAATAATGTAAAAAAAAAAAATCAAATCAAATGCAACGGCTAGTAGCCGTTTCATTTGAATATATATTTTTTAAATCCTGTCGGTTATAACCGACAAGAATACATGCCATTATTTAGTATATTAAATAATAGCATGTATTCCTGTCGGTTATAACCGACAGGAATAACAAAACATTAAAAAAAAAATAGCCAGCCCGGGGTTGGCTGGCTGGCCGAAAGCAGCCAGCCCTTTGGCCCTTTGAAATTTCGTGGGGCCTTCCCAGATTCTCGAGCCCTCTGGCCTAGCCCTCGGTTGGAGACGGTTTTAGGGCTATTTTCGGCCCTCTGGTCCTCTAGACCCTTCGGTTGGAGATGGGCTTAATATTTTAATGAACAGTACATGGCCATATTTGCCTTCGTCTCCAACCGAGGGCCAGAGGGCCATAAAGCCAAACATAATTTATTATTTAAAAACTACAACTTAAAATAAAATGAAACAAATTTTGTGAAATAGAAGTTATAGGAAAATGGAATTTTTAAAAAAATATGATACAAATTTTGTAAAATAAAAGTTATAGGAAAAAAATAAAAGTTATATGAACAAGTTTGTAAAAAAAAAAAAAATCAAATGCAACGGCTACTAGCCGTTGCATTTGAATTTTTTCTTAAGAAATCCTGTCGGTTATACATTGATATTATTTAGTAACCGACAGTAATACATTTATATTAAGTAATATAATGTATTCATGTCGGCTATAACTGACAGAAATAACAAACCATTAAAAAAAAATTGGCCAGCCCTCCAGCCCTCTCCGATTTCGTGGGACCCTCCCAGATTCCAGAGCCCTCTGACCTAGCCTTCGGTTGGAGACGATTTTCGGGCTATTTTCGGCCCTCTGACCATCTGGAATAGAAAGCCTTCAAATCAAGAAACATCATAAGATTTTTCAAATCAAGAAACCTGAGCATCCAACGTTAAGCCCAACCTCGCAAGCCGATGTTGGATCTTGGTCGTCTCAGGTCGACCAAACGTGATCTTCCAATTCATAATAGACTTCAGCAATCGACGGCACCCCTTTTAGTGTTGATCGTGAATTCGCCCTTTGAGCACCTTCTGCTTGTTGACAGCCTTGACGCATGCGAACATGTTCACCTCACAACGCCCAAGACTACGAAAAAAATAGTCTTAATCTTCCTCCTCATCTCAGTCGTCATCGATATCGACGAAGAATTTGCTGGATTTCCGAAAATCTTTCCCCTAACAAATCTCAGTAGCGACATTTTGAAATTTTGATAAAAAAAACGATTAAGAGGAATGTGTGTTTTCTGAAACGGATGGCTGGGCTCCTCCCTTTTCTTCTTATTTTTATTCTAACTTTTCTTCCAATTTGAAGAAAGCCATGCGTTCTCTTCGTCTTCTCTAATTATTCTTTTTCTTTTGGCTATAAAAAAACAGACTAGGATAATTTTATTAGGGCTTTATGAGTCATATTACACAAGGTCAAATGTCTCATTAAATTTTTCACTAAAAGTTGGCTGGGAAAATACGGTTGTGGAGTGGATCTAACACCTCTCTTATTAAAACAGTTTTCAAAAACAACCTACAAATCGCTTTTAAAAGCTGTTGCATGGAGGTATTAAATAAGCAGTGTATTTTATTTTCATCACACACTTTTTATTACTTTAACTTTAAAGTGAATCAATTTTTGTGAAGAAAAAGACAATCCCAAACGATGCCTTTCAAAGATAAATTTCCTTTGAGACCAATCTATCTAATTTTTTTTCATACAACGAAATATATATACACACTGGAATAACTATAAGAGAATAGAGTGGTTGCGAACTCTCCATATCCGAGATTCAAAACTAAAGACCTCTCACATCCAAGTGATGAGGAATACCACTACTTCAACCTATCTTGATCTAGTGAGTTATCCAATATAATCCAATCCTAACAACTAAATGTGACCGAACGTTATATGCTTGTTCACAATCTCACTTTGCAACAAGTAATAAGTTGTTAATAGGATTAGTAAGATGAACTAAAACAATAACAAAGTACTTGGGGTGCAAGTTTAGGCCAAAATGTGAATGCAGGTGTTTTTCACATCTCTAATTACACACCACAGAAGCGTGATTCTTAAAATTTCCCCTAAATAATGCAGAAAATATTGATCAAGTGAGTACAAAATAACAAAACAATGTGATCAGCTGGGTTGCAATCTTGAATTTAGCCCCTTAATCTTCTCATGAAAACAACACATTCATCCCCAAAATCATTAGACATCAACATAAACATTTGTTGGTAGCGTAAGTCCGGCAAGAGAAAGTTACTCACAGTTCCATGGCACGACACTTGAACACGAGTGGTCCAAAATCTCAATCATCAAATGAGAGCATGACATTAAACTCAGCTGCAATTGCTTGGAAATTAAAGAAAACATTGAGTTTCTTGTGCATTGCCATTTGCAAAAACAAGAAAGTTACCGACAGTTCCATGGCACAACACTTGAACACAAGCGGTCCAAATTCTCAATCATCAAATGAAAGCAAGACATTTAACTCAGCTGCAATTGCTTCGAAACGAAAGAAAATATCGAGTTTCTTGTGCATTGTAGCATTGTAATTTGCAAAAACAAACAGCCCTTTCAACTACAACTTAAAAATTCAGAATCAGTTCATCCGACTCTCTCACTTTTTGGTCTACAATCCATCTAAGCCTCTAAGATTGATAAAAATCTATGAACATTGACACATTTAATCAGAAACCCAAATGTCCCAAAATTGTAAAAACCTCAAATCTCATCAGACCACAAATTTGGGGGCAGCAGATTTTGATTCCTCCTTCACAACCTCACCTAAAGCAATATTACTCAATAAATCAGAACATACCCACAAATAATAAACAGAAATTGACTGAAATGTTGAAAATACAAATCTCAAAAATGATCACTTTTGGGGATTTTATTGATACTACAATGTCATCAATATTTGATCAATATGTCGTCATTATTTGATTATGATCATTTCATCAATTGAGATTTGTCAAATCTGCCTTTCGGTCAGTTTCCCAATTATCAAACCCTAAATTTTCTAACCCCTAGAAACAAACGCAAAATCAAAGAAAGTGAGAGTGAAATTACCAATTTGTGAGACTGGGGCTTCGCCGTAGATGGCTTTGAGCCTGGAAAGCGGAACCAGGGCAGAGTCATCGGAGGCGGCATCCGCGAAGAGCTGCTGCTTCCAGTCCCACAAGGTCTGCTTCGCCGCCTTGTTCGACTTGATGAGCGACGCCTTCTCCGCCTCCAGCGATTCGATGTCGTTTTGCTGCTTCACCGACCTTACGCTCAGTGCAACGAACGCACCCACCAGGGCCACGTTTATCACCGTGTTGTTGCTCACCGCTCTCGTGGCGGCGCTCATCACCTTGTTCGCCAACTCCATTTCCGGAACCACAGAGCGTACGAGTCGACGCCTGCTGAGTTGGACCGTCAGCAATAGCACAAAATCTAAATATTCGAAATTCATACATACACTAGCAGCAAACCAAATTCCAAACTCATACACAAGCAGCAAATCAAGAACCCTAAATCTACAAAACCCTAATTTGTTTTTCAATCCTAATCCCTAAAATTGAATACCTTTAGTGAGATTGACCGTCAGGTGGTGGTCGGAGTTGGGAGGAGCTGGTGGTGGTGGTCGGAGTCGACTTCAGAGGAGTTGAGGGAGGGAGGGAGGGAGCTCAGCTATCGAGATTCGAGAGGGAGGACTGAGCTGTGGAGATTCAGTTTGAGAGAGATTGAGAAACGGAGAAAGTGAAAATGATAACAGACCCGGCCCTTTTTTTTTTTTTTTTTTTTTTTTTTTTTTTAGACAACTTAATTTAATATCAAACTCGGCTAAAATATATGAAACTGCCCCGATCCCGTCCTAAACCGCTGGTACCCGCCTCACGGTCTAAGGCCAGTTTTCCCACCTAAGATCGTCCTCAATATTTGGGCTAAAAACTAAAATTTTTAGTCTAGAATTAGTTTTTCTACTCCAACCTTTGGACTAAAAGCTAAAATTTTTAGTCCAGAAACAGCTAAAATTTTTAGGCTAATTTTTTCTTTTAAAATAATTTTAAAAAAAATTATGTACACTATTATAATTTAATTTTATGAACACTTTAACCTAAAAATATTTAAATTCCGATAAATATTGAAAAATCACTAAATTTTGATGAATTTTGAGTTAAATAATTTTTTTAATTATTTTAGCCGTTAGATTTAAATTTGGGCGGTTAAAATTTTTTTTGCCGTTAATTTGATTATATTCGATCTCAGCCATTGGATTCAATAAATCCTATGAGACATGCCCATGTGGGTGGGGTCCTGCTGGTGGTGCCCACACCATTTTCTAGGCTAAATCCAGGGGGAATTTGGCTTCTGTTTGACTTTTAGCTTTTAACCCACACATTTAGCATATGTTAGGTTTGGGGGGAGGGGAATAAAACCTAAAAATTAGCATTTAGCCCAGGGTTGGGCTTGGTAATTTCCCCATTTATTGCTCCCCCCCCCCCCACCCAAACCCAACCCAGGTCAAAGCCAAATGCCAAACAAAAGCCAAATACCCCCCAAAAATTAGCCTATAAAAGAGTGGACTCGCCCAAACCCAACCCATTCTCGGCCTACTCACGCACCCAACTTGCCCCACACGGGCTGAGACCTTCAGTGCCCGACAAGGTGGGACCCACTATCAGGGCCGCTATCGACCATCATCATGAGCCCAATGACTATTTTTATCATCCAATGGCTGAGCTTTTGGACCGTTGGTTGATCCAACAATCCCTATTCAAATTTTGTTTTTTAAAATACATTGAATCCAATGGCTGAAATCGAATATAATCAAATCTAACGGTAAAAAAAAAAAAAAATCTAACAACCCAAATTTAAATCCAACCTCTAAAATAATTAAAAAAAAATATTTAACTCAAAATTCACCAAAAAACTCTATAAATACTTATGTATCGAAATTTAAATATTTTTAGATTAAAATGTTCATAAAATTAATTTACGATAGTCTACATAATTTTTTTTAAATGTAAATTTAAGAAAAAAAATTAGCCTAAGTTCATTCTTTAATAATTTGGGGCTAAAATTTTAGGTCAGACAGGTTGGAGCAGAAAAGCTATTTATGGGTTAAAAAAATTTGGCTTTTAGCCCAAGGGTTGGAGATGGTATAAGCCCGGTTGCTCATCCAAGCAAAAATCGACTGGCTAGCTCCTAAGCTATGTGACATAAGGATGAAATGAGTCATAATTAAAAATTATAAAAAAATTAATTAAAAATGCAAAACTTATAAAAATATAAAAAAACATAAATAATTTATAATTTTTTTTTTGTAAACATCTAATATGTTCTTCCGCTTTACACCACATTTCAATATTTTTTATTATATTATAAAAAAAATAATATTTTATTTCAATAATCTGGCTATTCAGTTTAAAAGTAGATATGTACTTAGGTAGTTAATGTTTACTTAAGAGATTGAATTGCCTATTGCCCAGGACTTTTTAGAGGTGGAAGTGATGTGATTTGAGCCCACTTATCTCTGTTGAAATTGCATGTGTATGAAATGATATTAAAAAATATTATGATATTTTCAAAAAAAAAAAAAAAAAAAACATTTTACATTCTCAAATTTGAGTGACATGACAATATTATACCTCTATTTTAAAACATTACCTCATCTTTAAAACATTATAATTTCATAGACAAATTTATGAATTTATTACAATGTTAGACCTTCATCAATCGGTTTATTTGATGGATGTATAAATCTATTTTCTAAAATTAAATACTAACTACTACCATCTTGCCACCTCATTTCCTGGCATCCCCAACAGAATTAAAAACTAGTGTTTCCAACAATTAACTCATGGCCTTGCACAAATATAGTATAACTCTATTTTCCAATTCTGCATTTACATCCGAGCTCCCGAAAAGTATTTCGAATAATGTTACCAACACATAATTATAAAGAAACATTTAAGAGCATTTTGGTCCATGTACACCATTTAATCCAAATCACATTACAATTCATTCTTTAAAGACGTTTTAGCCAACATGGTCCCTGAGATTTGCATAACACATCATTTTGATCTCGAGTTAGCCACTTTCGATCATATACTTAATATGCAGTAATATTAGTTTATCACTATCTCCAAATATTATAATTATCATATTAACAATATTTGGTACGGGGTGTTACAAAGGGCATCTTAAACTAGTATAATCTAGAACGAAAAAGCATACTAAGAGAACGTTTGATAACCATTGCCTTTAGTTGACATGAATTATTTTTTTTTAATGCCAATAGCAGCTCCCAAAAATTAAACATATCACTTTAAACCGGTTCAGATCAGTGGAAACAAAAGGTAAAAAAGATGATAGATAATATTTGTTTGGGTTGGGGAGAGGGGAGGGGGTAAACATCCATTTGCATGCCAATAAAAACTTCTTGAATGAAGGGCAAAACAAAAGGAAATGTTACCCTGCGTTGTAAAGAAAAAGAAAAAAAATGCACAAGCACAGGCTCGGAAAAAGGAAAAACTTGAACACTGTATAATCTTATCACTATTCACAGAGTGTTGTAACTATGTATTAGCAATCAATGAAAAATTGAGTGTCAACCGCTGACCAAAAAGAATATCGATCAGATCATGTCAACAGTTATTGAGCGACTGCATCTCTTGAGTAGCTACATCCGAACCAAAAGTCTGTCTAAATCGTTGAATACGTTCAGCGTATGGGATTTGCCAACCATCAGTACCTGGTAGGCAAACTCGGTGCCAACATTCCGAGACAGGTGGCATTGGATGCCCTGGAAACATGGAAACATGGTAGCAACAAGATGGCACATTCCGAGACAGGTGGCATTGGATGCCCTGGAAACATATAAACCTATGGAGAACATGACACACCAACAGTTAGGAATGGACAATCACCTCCACGAAGCACATCAAAGCATATATGGTAATCAAGGTATTCAAGCCATGTACAATACCTGAACAAAATGGTCATCACTGACTGAACCAATGGCAATGTGTCGGCGCTCTAACAAGGGCAATGACACAGTCCTCGTTGGCAAAAATGTGAGACATAATGACATGGATAAATAGATCACAACTACATTATAGCATGATGCGATAACGTGTCCCATATCAGGCATGGTCAACCACCTATCATATGGTGGGGAATCCTCAAAGAATGAGAGTGCATGCATAAGCTCGTCAACCCTATCATGTCTACCGAAAAGGTTCTCATATTGTGTTTGATGAGAATGCAACTCATTCAACAATTCTCTGCGTACCTTGCTCCAAGAATCATCACCAAAACCCATCAATCCAGCTATAACTCGATAGCCACAATTACCATCACCTGTAAAATCCCTAATGGAGGAAATATATGGCTTCAAAGCAGTAGGAAACTGCTCTTTCAGCGTAGAAGAAGTGAGAGGAGACATCCTGAGCGCCTGCACAGCAATATTCATAAATATACTAGTTTCAACTTTCAAGTATCGACAAAATAATAGTGAATACAAGTCAATGATGTTCATACATACCTTCATCTTGGGTGGATGCCTTGTTGTTTTCTCTGAGTGGGATGTGGTAGTGACTGCGGCAACCCTGTCAGCTGGTGAATGACTTACTTGACAGGACAAGGCCAACTCAAAGGCAGAAAGATTGCAATGAGTGGTAGTGCCAATTCTACTTGGCTGCTCGGTAGTCTTGGTAATTGACTCCATATTCAGAATCTCCTCCAACTTTGTACTAATATCTACCCTGCCATCCTCATCGCTATCCATCCACCGCTTTAAGATCCTATACATTTTTGTAATTACGTGAGTTGCATGGTCACTAAACTTTGGGGAGTACAACAAATCCAATTTCTTCCAATAAGGATCAACACAGTAAAGAGGAATGGGGCGACTAGTTTGTCTATACTCTGCAATCTCATGCACACAGGGCAATCCATGTGTGCGTCGAATGGTGCAACCACATGACGAATAATCCACCCCCACCAAATTGGCTTTCTTCGACTCACAAACAATTGTGCTCAAAGCAATGGTGGATACAAAACCTCGCAACTCCTTCAATTCATCATGCATGAAATTGTGTTGGACGACGGCCAAACACTTCTCAAGTGATACCTTGATGTCTTCGTGTTGCAACTCTAACAAGGAGTGAATCCTTTCCCAAGACATTTCGAAACTACCTCGGCTGTTGCCAAGTAGTTTTTTCAGTTTCGCACTTGAGCCTTCCACCCTGCCATACAAAATAATTACTAGTATATGATGACTTCCATACGAAAACAAATAAGATTAACAAATTTACCTATTTGACGTCGAGTGGCCATAATGCATACATGTATCTGTCCATACAGACACAAACCTCTCTTTATACTCGTTCAACCAAGTGTTCTTCACATATTCAAGTGCATGTGGATATCTACCAAAATAATAATCAAGCTCATGCAGACGGCTTTGATACTCGTGCCCTGTCTCCGATAACACCAACATATTCCAACTCATCATGAACTTATCCAACTGATCTTTACCCTCAAACATGTCCTTACACTTTGCCAACACATGTTTGCTGATATGTAATTTACACAACAAATGTCGGGCACTTGGAAAAATACTATGAACAGCGCTCATGAGAGGCAAGTCTTTGTCCATGACAATAACTGTAGGAAGACAATGTTCATCCAACACAGCCCTCAATCTACTCAAAGCCCATATGTAATTGTCTTCATTCTTAGCATCAAGGTAAGCAAATGCAGCTGAGAAGGTTATATTAGTACAAGTCACCCCTACGATCTCTAAAAGGGGAAAAGAATACGTCTCACTTATGCAATCCATGATTAGGACATGGGGGAATGCACGTAAGACATCTACACTAGCAGGGTGAGTCCAAAACAGATCTTTCACCATACTATTGTCATCTGAGCTCCTATGCCACTCAATATATTTGTGAGCGGATAACTTATTTAGCAATACATGCATCTGTGATCTCACAGCATTCTCTTTCAACTTCAACCGTTGTCTGACATTATAAATTGTTTTCATTGTTTCGTTGATGTTGAGTCCATCATTCTTTTGGATAGTGCGTAATATGTCTTTGGGTTTGGCTGAACTCTTGGACATATCTACCAACACTGCTTTCTCCTCTTCAGATAACCTCCTCGTGTTGCTCTTTTCAGCATGGTGGTTGTGAACTCCACATATAACCTCCAATTTCCACTCATCGTCATCACCCAAGCTCACACCCTTCAGTAGAAATGGGCATCCACACTTTTTTGTACCACTCCTTTTACGCCTTTTCTTCTGGACACTCTCATCAATCCTCCTTTTGTAAATGCCACCCCTTTCACAGCCCAATTTTATTCGGGGTTTCTTACTACCAACCCCTCCTGTATCCGAGTTCTTGATAATAATCACCAAACCAATACTATGTCCTCGCTCGCGAGCCCACTCCACCAATTCGTCTCTACTCTTAAAAATCTACACAGTGCAAATATACATCATCTCTAATCCAACTTCTCAATCATAAGTCACAAGCGAAAATTGAAATAGGACAAACCTCATTAGTTGTGAATTCACCAGTGAAGTCGATCACACGTTCTGAGCAAGCACCGCTACCCCCAGCAGAACTGTATTCCTGTTGAAAAAAAAAATATTAGAAATGTTTCAATTTCCCTTACTAATTTTTTTTTTAATAGAAACGATATCATTTTAATATCAAAAGAAAAAGATATACAATGGGGAAAGGAAGAGAGCAGCACAGAATTAGATAACAGATGCGCTCCAATTAAACAAAATACAAGAGAAAGACACGTCTTTAAATTCTTTAGTAACTGAAGCCCAAAGAGAGGAGCATAGTCGAACTTTATCCCACATATCCTCCCTGCATCTAGCACCTTTGTCCTCAAAGATGAAACTGTTTCATTCCAACCAAATGACCCAGAAAATGGCATAAACAAAACAATGGAATATGGGGAAGATGATAGTTGAAATTTCAACAGGTGGATGAAGAACAACTGCCCACCTTCCCCTTTTGATTTCATGTTGCAGGGAACTCTTTCGGATCAGAGTGCACTGATTCTAGCACTACGCTGATACACACCATCCCTGCCTTCATTTTTCCATTTATTAATCAACATAAATCAACATTTACACAACAACAAAAAAACCAATTAACTAAAATAAAAATCAACCTTCAGAAATATACAAAAACAAATAGAGAAAAAAGTTGCAGAAATTGGTTAAACTGCGAGGAGGAGGAGGATGAGAGGAAGGTAGTGTACATTGTGTGTATGTGTAGGAGGAGGAATACGAAGCGAATCACACTAGGGTCAACTGATCCGAACTCCCTAAATAGTTTCCACCATAGGCGTAAAGCTACCGGACAATGAAGAAACAAAATGGGCAACTAACCGAGCAAATTTCACATTTCTTACCGTTGATACAATCATAAAACACACACACACACACACACACACTCATACCTCATTCGAAGAACTCTGATTGACGATTTGATGCTCCATTTTACGCAACCTCTTTTCCGCCAAGTAACTGCATAATCCATGAGATTGTTAGAGAAAGACACAAAAAATTCACACCAAGAAACATGATCAGCAAATGCACATACTACAACTTTAAATTTACTTGACCACAAATTCAATACAAAACCTACAACCACGTTCAAATGCAGAACAAAAAACCGCGAATCCGAATACGCAATCATCAGGGCAACAATATTCCCAATTTAAAAAATACTCAATTCAATACAACATATATTATGTGCACAGAAAGTAACTGAAAGGAAAAAAAAAATTAATTTAATTTAAAAACCCAATGTGATTTCATCAAAACCCTTCTCCCAATTTCTCAGTTGGAGGGAAAAAATGGAAAGCGTGAGATAGAAACCTGTGTGAGTTGAACGGGTGATTAGAGGAGAAGGAAAGGCGAGTGCGCGTGCGAGTGGCGAGGAGGGAGAGTGGGAGAGTGAGACTGATGATGGCGGGATGGCGGGATGGCGGAACGGACGGTGTTGTGGTATGCTATGAACTGGGGGTTTGGGGACGACGAGGGATTTTGGGGTGGGCTTTATTTTTAAGGAAAATTAACGATAAGGTTCAAAACTTATTTTAATAAAAAACCATCTAATAAGTTTATTTAATGGTTAGGACAAAGCTCAACACTTAATCAGTCCAATCAACATGGCCCAATTTTTCTAATTTTACCCGTTTTTTCGTGAAACAGACCAAACTACTACCCGCAAGCAAAGCAACAAAAACGCAGATCAATGCACTGCCAAAACCGCATAAAACCCAACCCTCACAAACGGCCGGCCGACTCCAACCGCACTTCGAACAATTTTATCCCTTCGAGTTCCCCATGGTAAATCATTCATTTATGATCTTTTTCTTTTGAATTCTTTCTGCTTTTTGTATGTTTTGAAGATATTTTTCACGTTCTTTTCCCCAATCGGCGGGATGTATTTATGATCTTTTGGTTAAATAATATCTATTCGAGTCTTTCTACTCCAGAGAGCTGGAGATGGTGTTCTTCATCCCGGGTTTGCTCTGCATTTTCATACAAACCTCCTGTTCATCAATAGATGTGCGCGCGGATTGTTGATATATAATTGTTCGTAGTGCGGTGATCATTCCTGACAAGGTACTGTAGTCTGTAGCATATGATTGTTGCCTTGGGACAGCATATGAACTTAATGAAAAAAGATTGGTAGCAAATCAATAGCAGGTCATACGTGGAGAATGGATTACAATATATTCAATTGTTTAAGCTCTCTGATGGCTTCCACTATATATTTTAATTCATGTGTGTGAAGGAAGGATATGTGAAATTAATAAGCCCATATACAATCAGTGGGATCTATTTTTGATCTTTTGGTTAAATAACCGTTCTTTTTATTTTTCATACCATTCTTTTTTAATTTTTCAAGCTCCCCACGGGAAACCTTAGCTTTTTGTATCTTCATAACCTCTGTATCCTCTCATCACGAACCCAAACTGTTATAGAAATAGTTAATATTCAGTTTAAGAAATAGTGATAGTATCCTTATTTAGTTCTAGAAATAGTCAGTGTTTAGTTTAATAAATAGTGATAGTACCAGTGTTGAGTTTCAGAAATAGTGTAGCACCCGTGTTTAGTTTAAGAAATAGTGATAGTACGGGAATTGAGTTTCAAAAATAGTGTAGTACTAGTGTTCAGTTTCATAAATAGTGTAGTACTCGTGTTTAGTTTCTTAAATAGTCAGTGTTCAGTTTAAGAAATAGTAGTAGTACAAGTGTTCAATTTAAGAAATAGTGATAGTATCCATGTTTACTTCTAGAAATAGTGTAGTACTCGTGTTTAGTTTCATAAATAGTCAGTGTTCAGTTTAAGAAATAGTAATAGTACCAGTGTTCAGTTTAAGAAATAGTGATAGTACCAGTGTTCAGTTTAAGAAATAGTAATAGTACCCATGTTCAGTTCTAGAAATAGTGTAGTACTAGTTTTCAGTTTTAAGAATTAGTTAGTGCTCAGTTTTAAGAAATAGTTAATGTTCAGTTCTACTAGTGATAGTACCGGTGTTTAGTTCTAAAAAATAGTGGTAGCAACTTTTAAACTCGCAACAATCTCAAACTGACTCTTTATAAATAGCTTATAAGAAATTTATATTAATCTTACTTTGATTCTATAAATATTTTGATAAGCATTTCAACACGAGTTTGATTTTAAATCTTCCTCAGTCTAAATCTTTTTCAATTCAATTCCTCTGATTTCATTTAGTAGTTAATAAATTAGTAGATGAGCAATTCTTCCTTCTCATTTTAGTTTCTCTAATTTCATTTACAAATTTTTATGCACGCCATAAATAGTTGAAGCTCCTCTCAAACCCCATCACCTCAAAAATAAAAGACATAACCTGGCTCAATTGCCCTTAAAAATTGAGATCAATCGAGACTTAATCAATTCAATTTTAATTATACATGAGTAATGTTCAGCAAGTAAAAGAGTATATGCCAATGGCAAGCGAATGGGGAATATGTTGACGCTTAACTGGGTTCTGAACTTAATTAGTAGATATCATATAGGATGGAAAGGCAGAAGGGACTTCAACATCACATGCATTCAAACAAAAACCCAAAAGCAGACCTAAAGAGAGGAGACGCAGAGGAAAGCAGTTTGCCATGCTCAAAAATACCTCACGAACCTCCACTATATGCCATGCACTCTTTTCTTTCTTGGTTTCAACAAATTTGAATAGGTTACAAAATTGAATATTGACTTCTATTTCTGAACTGAACCAAAATAACCCACCATATTTTTGGTACTAAACCAAAATAACCAACATTATTTCTGCAACTACAACAAAATAACCTACACTATTTTGAAATTGAACCAAAATAACCCACACTATTTCTGAAACTAAACCAAAATAACCAATACTATTCTGGAACTACAGCAAAATAATCCACATTATTTCTGAAATTACAACAAAATAACTCACACTATTTCTGAAACTACAACAAAATAAACCATACTATTTCTAAAAATGAACCAAAAGCCCACACTATTTTTAAAACTTCAGCAAAATAACCTACACTATTTCTGAAATTACAGCAAAATAACCCACACTATTTCTGAAATTTGACAAAAAAAACCTACACTAGTTCTGGAACTATAGCAAAATAACTCATATTATTTCTGAAATTGAACCAAAATAACCTATACTATTTTTGAAACTACAGCAAAATAACCAACACTATTTCTGAAATTGGACCAAAGTAACCTACACTATTTCTGGAACTACAGCAAAATAACCCACATTATTTCTGAAACTGAACTAAAATAACTCACACTATTTCTGGAACTACAGCAATATAACCTACACTATTTCTGAAACAGAACCAAAATACTATGCACTACCACTAATTTAATTACAATACTATGGATGATATCATCAATCCCAATATATAATATAGGCTATGGCATATATAAGATTGTGACCATGAAGATAGATCAAAGTACATACTACAAATTTTCTCATCTTACAAGTTGAAACACAACATTCCATTAACATAGCTAATAAGCACCGCTGAGTCTTTATATCGGAATCTTGACTCTTTGGTATTTGATGCCCTGCACTCTTTGAATTTAATATAATTTACAATTGCCTTTTCTTCTAATCTTCTAACTTTTGCTACTTAACATATGATTAATCATTACCTTCTCTTCTGCTTTTTTTGCTTTTGCTACTGAACAAGTAGCTCAAACCTCACTTGCAATCACATCTAATAAAAAAAATATGAAACATTGTTTGTATTTTTTGACAGCGGGTTCAAACCTCGGGGGTTGTTATGTAATTAGCTCATATGATTAAGATGAAGGTCATACAACATTTTGCTCAAACGTTAGACATATTTTAATCTGGTATTTATTTTTTGTTTTTTTAATATATAATCTCAAGATGTAATTGACATCTCATACAATCAAATAGCAAACTCAACTAAAACAGAATCAAAATGCAGCATTGTCATACTAAGTCCAGAGCGATCCTAACAAAATTAAATATCGAAACCCAAACCTAGATAACCGGACAATAACAACAGCAGCACCCATTTCTTTTCTTCCACGAGATGAACCTTCAAAATGCCTGCTTTCACATAAACTAACATGAGTCAAAAATGGTATTGGCAGGACAATCAGTCCCCATTCCTCCTGAAAGAGGAACCCTCGGTCTCGGTGAGTCTGGCACGACCACCAGTAGGCTGGCACAGCACAGTCTGGCAGTTCCCACACACCACAACTGTTTGCGAGTGACTAAACATAGTGGTTCTGCACAAGTATTCGATTACATTCACTTTTAAACAACAAATAAGTACTCTTATTTTCTAATTTAGCACATAATTTAATAAGTACTTAAACGAAAACAGCAAAAAAAGGATAAAAATTCACATGTTGAAACACCCCTGGCACTTGACATCCTATTCAAGTTCAAAACATTCAAAACTAGTATCATCCCACTTAAACATTCAAAACTAAACAACCTAAATACAAAACCCAAAAGCGTAAGCATCCATCGATTAATATCCATACCATAAAGAAAGAGTTGGGGGTCTGTACAAGCCTCTTGATCTTGTGCTTCCTCTTCTCAAGCTCAGCTGATGGATGGAGCAAATCGATATCGTTCTGAAGCACCATCTTGATTGAAATCGAAGATCGTAGAAAATAGCGGCGACCGCGAATGGAAGACTCTAGGGAGAGACCGAGCTTGCAACAATGGCGGGTGAGAGAGCAATTTTGATTTGGTATTTTGGTTGACACCTTTGGTGGAACTGGTTGCAGAGGAAACCATGACAAGGCAACCTCTGAATCTACTAGAAGATATGCACCAAACAATCCTTCATTCAATTCACCAAGGGCTGGCTTCTGTTGGGGTAATTTTGGAAACTTAACTTTGTTCATTTTGGGCTCTGTAATCCAGCCCGTGTGAAATTTGGGGCCCTTGTCCTTATGATTAATTTTGAGGTGCTTTTGATTAAAGAAAACTATAGGGTGGTTTTTGATTAAAATAGTCTTGATCTAAACCCTTTTCATTAAAGTTCCCTTATTTTTATTTATTTATTTCCTTTTCTCTTTTCATTTTTCATTTTAGAATATGATATTCACACCCTTCTTTTTACTTCTCATACATTTTTATAATTTTCTACTGTCGAATTAAATGAATTGAAGAATATTAAATCACAAAAATTATTAAAAGATGTGTTAGAAGTAAAAAAGAATATGTTAGAAATAAAAAGAGATGTTTGGATAGAATGCCCTTCGTTTTATTGGCCTGGGTTTTGACCATTTTAATTGGTTAATAGGTTTATAATAGAAGTAATTGTAAACTAAAAAACTAAATGTTTTTTTTCCAAACTAAACCTAGTTGAAAAAATTGGTTATGATATTAATATATTGTTCAAAATTTATTAAAATCTAAATATATATATGAGAAGACAAAAACATGAAACCAACTACATTCGCAATGTTCTCTTATAATAATAATAAAAAAAAAACAATCTAACTAAATCAATTAATTTGGAAAATAATGGATCAATCAAGCTGTTGAAATCAGGTCTACATCTAGTAGTGCATTTTGTTCGTCATGTTAAAAAAATTTGCAAGTTAAACTCAAATTGTTTTGTAGTTGTGCGCGCAATTATCAGCTAGACTTTTTATTTCGGCAATATACCATCCAAACTTTATATTTGGTGGGAATCTACCACCCAGGTCAGTTAATATCCATTTTGTCGTTAACTTGTCATGATACCAAGCACATGAGCTAATATGAGGACAATTTAGTAAATTTGATTTATATTTGTTAGAAGAAAAGCGAATTAAAAAGCTGAAAAAATTCAATAACAAATTATGAAATTAAATCCCCGCACCAACTCCCAACCCTTGCACTCTTCCTACACAATTTGTTTACCACCATGAAATTACCTATGGGGAGTTTTGAAAGGGGAGTGCTAGCAGCATTTAAACTAACATTCGCACTTAGACGTTTTCACTCCTTAAAACTACACGTATCATTTTATTCACACATAAAACAATACCCAACCTAACCATAACCATAACCATCCCTGCCCAACCCAGTCCCTCCCCAGTCCTCTCCCACTCTCTCGTTCTCCACCGAAATAATGGCAGCTATAGGCAAGTGTCATTTGAAGGAGTGAAAATGTCCAAATGCAAAAGTTAATGCAAATGTTGCTAGCACTTCATGATCATTTTAGTTTTTTTTTTTAATAAATTTTCTAATACAAAGAGAATATAGGAATTTTATAAAAAAGAACTGTGGACTCTCTTAAAATTATTCAGGGTAAAGTACAAAAAACTACCTCAACTATTGGTGTCACGACACTTTCATACCTTATCTTTTAAAATTGACAATGTCATACCTCATCTTACGAATTTGTGCCAATGTCAGACCTCTATCAGTTTTTCTATTACTTTTCTGTTAAATGTTGACGTGGCCAGATACGGGACCTTTTTTTTATTAAAAAATTAATTAAATATTACGAATTAAAAAAAAACAAAAAAAAAAACCCATCAACGCGTGTCCCCCTCCCCAAAAACCCATATCCCCTTCTTTGAGTTCACTCCCACCCAACCCTCTCTCTCTCGTCTCTCTCTCTTCTCTCTCCCTACAACCTGCATCCCTAAAATCCCGAAACCCAAAAATCCTTCCCACCCGTCCCCCCCAACCTTCCTCTTCAATCCCACTGACGACAACCCTACCTCTGTCGTTGACTCCAGCGATGACAGCCACGACCCCCAATCGCCCCTAAACCCTAACTCTAGCCACAACCTCCACAACAACATTCCCTTCTCCTATTTGCCCTCGAAGTTTGCCCCTCTGGTGATTTGCGAAAGAAAAACAAAACAATAACAACAAGAATAACAACCCAATAGAAAAACTCTCCGGTTTTCCCAAAAAATTCCGAGATTTTCCGAGAAAATCATAGGAGGCGCAAGAAAACAGAGAGAGTTGTGATCTGAGAGTGGCTCTCTTTGGTCTAAGTTTCTGATAAATGGTGTATATAGGCGGGTCAGATGAGGAGAAGAGAGTGGAGGTGAAGTCCATGGCGATGGGTTCTGAGAGGGCGAAGCCTCTGCACAATTTCAACTTGTTGTGGTATTTGAAGTGGGGGAACTAGAAGCACCTGTGGTGTTAGAAAGAGAGCTTTGATGCCAGCGGGAGTGGCGGGGAAGGGTCTAGGGTTAGTCGGCAATCGTTGGCTCAGAGGATTGAGAGCTTGTCGGCGGTGATGACTCGGGTGGGAATCGTTTATGGGTTTTGGGATTTTAGGGATGCAAGTTGCAGGGAGAGAGAAGAGAAAGGCGAGAGAAAGAGAGAGAAAGAGGGTTGGGTGAGGGAGAACTCAGAGAAGAGGACACATGTTGATGTTTTTTTTTGGTTTTTGGTTTTTTGTTTTTTTGTTTTAATTTTTTAATATTTAATTAATATTTTGTAATATTTAATTATTTTTTTAATAAAAATGGGTCATGTTCTGGCCACGTCAGCATTTAACAGAAAAAGTAACAGAAAAACTGACGGAGGTCTGACATTAGTACAATTTCGTAAGATGAGGTATGACATTGTCAATTTTAAAAGATGAGGTATGAAAGTGTCGTGACACCAATAATTGAGGTAGTTTTTTATACTTTACCCAATTATTTAACAAAAACTTGGATGCAGGTTGTAGATTTGCACCAAATTTAAAGTTTGGGTGGTATATTGCTAAAATAAAAAGTTTGGATGGAAATTGCGCACACACTTACTAATTCAGGTGTACTTATACAAAATATCCTAATTTTTTATATGACTTATCAAGCTATCAGTAATGATTAACAAGAGATTGATTGCGTATGCTAGAAATTGTCACTAAATTTAAATTTAAAATCTCAAGTGAAGAAGAATATCAAATCAGACTGAATGACAGCTTGTGGCAAAATGAAAAAGACGACAAAGGTGGGTACACATAACCCCATATAGCCCCAAACATGGGTAGGTTTAGAATCCAAAAGGCCACCATTTGTTTTTGGGCGGGTAAAATATCCCCACTCAACAAACCTCCACTTTCCTTACCACTCCCACAACAGGCGCGTTTGATCAACGCGCACCAAAGGCGGGAGCCTCTCAGCAATTAAAGCCATCAACGCGCACCAAAGGCGGGAGCCTCTCAGCAATTAAAGCCCCCTCCACTCAAATGTCTGGAAGTCCACTCACTTACTCGTCACACTCGTCAAGCCCTCGTCCTCCCCGAGACCTGCGATCGCGGTTTCCGCCTCTGATCGAATGTCCGTCCGCTGCACCACCGCCAAAATACCCGTCTCTGAGTTAGGGTTTCTCTCCGATTCACTGGCCCAATGGTTGAGTCCGCGCTGTAGCTCGTCTCCGAAATCGGCACCCACCTCCGCCGCCAAACCCGCCCAAACAAGGACTCCATCGTCAAATCGCTCCAAGTAAGCAATTTTTCTTGTTTGAATAGCTTATATAATTCCATGTTTGAATTGGAATTGCGGGTTTTTGTTTAATGTGGAGTTTTGTATTTGAATTTGTTCATTTCGTCGGCCTAGCGATTTGAGTTGATCGTTGGGGTTTTGCTTGTTTTGTAATTTGTATGCTTCGTTTCACAGCAAGCTGCGAGTGCACTGTCACAGTTAGAACAGGCTTCTTCGGCTGAAGCTTCTAGGAAGTTGGAGCCCTGAGAGAAGCTATTGTGCATAGCTTGCTTCAGCATAAGGATGTCAGGCTTCTAGTGGCCATTTGTGTCACTGAAATGTTTCGGGCTATGGCACCCGAACCTCCTGTCGCCGACAAATATGTAAGGGTATGTGTGCATTTGCCCATGTCCGATTTGAGATGCTTACACTCTTCTTTTGAACTCATTATCAGCATGTTCGTGGAGCTAGCTGACATGGAAAGCCCGCTCTTCTCGAGGAGGGCTAAAATAGTAGACTGTTGCACGATGTAAATGTTGTGTGATCATGTTGGATATTAACTGCAATGATCTAGTTCTCGAAATGTTTAATATATTCTTCTCTGTTGTGAGGTAATTCCTAGTCTTGACTTTCCATGCTACTCTTGTATGTTTGGGTTCTTCGTAATGGATAATTCTGGAGGAATCAGTGCTTATTACATTCTATGATTAGATTTTCACTTTCATGGAATAAAGAAAAGTAATAACTGCCTGTAACTTAGATGACTAGATCATGCTCTACTTTTATGTTTTACTAAGTTATAAGAATCTGAGATTAGAGTGTCTCTGAATCGGTTAAGTGCAATTTGTTATGTTTTAATGTATGTAAGCTTGGTGGCTTAACTATGATGACATCAATTATAATCCCTTGCATTTTTTCCCTGTAGGCAACACCATCAGCAGAGTTTGATAAATGATATTTTGTCTATAATGGTTCATATACTAAACGAGGAAGCTTCTCAGCCACTTTTGAATGTGGTTCTACAAAATCTTGTGAAGGAGTTAAAGGCAAGTGTTTGATAATGTATACTTACAATGGTTTATAGAAACATTTATTTACATGATATACTAGTCCTACATGTTTTTGGTATCAAAACAATGTTCACTATTGTTAAGTAGAACGGTTGCCAAAGCAATGTTTGTTACGATATGAGCTTTTTCCAATGCATGTTTATTTATTTTCACTGATATATAGTAAGTGGGATTGTGGTGGCATGATAGTTAAAATGTTGCATTCCACTTATCATAATTTGGTTGTTGGTCATAGGGAAAATGTCCTATGCAGTATGTTCTGGTATTATAGTAGAAAAACTGGGATCTTATTGAATCTGTTTCTTCATGTACTAGTTGCTTGTGAGATCATGGGTTAATTTCTAATCTGGGTCTCCAACCTGACAGGAAAAAAGGAATATTGACTACTAGTGAATGTGAGATTTTTGTATACTGTTTGGAATGCCTCTTGTTACATTTTGGACAATGTGTGTTTTAATAAGGAATTTGGGATGAAACGGGCATTTTGCAGTCACAGCCAAACAAAAGGAAATTGCGTTGAAAATGCCCATTTTCATGTAAACTGTTTTACATTTTTAATTAGTTTTACGACACAACATCTTTTGATTAAACAAATAAAGTGTAAAGATTTAGTGCTTCTTATCTGCTCATGCTCGATATCAATATTTAGCTCAATTAATTATTAAATATTATTCTGTTTCTTATATTATGTTTTACAGAATGCAGACTGTGCTTCTTCCCAGCTTTCAGTTTCTGTGATTCAAACGTGCGCAGACAAACTTGAGTCCTTTGTTTGTGGGGTTCTGACATCTTGTATTTTGGATGGAGATGCTGATGGGAGTGAGCTCAGAGAATTTTACCATTATATCATTTTTAAATTTTTTGGGTGTGCTCCTCAGATGCTTCTTGCTGTCATTCCAAATTTGACTCAAGAGTTATTGGTATGTCTTCATGTCTTAGTTCATTTTGTTTTGATTTAATCATTTCATCTCTTGGCATAGGATCTTTTTTTTTCTCTTCCTTCATAGTTCTCTTATGGTCCTGACTTGTGCTTTAAAAGCAATCAATAAATATCACCTGACTCCGATTATTTTTCTATAGACTGATCAGGTTGATGTGCAACTAAAAGCTGTTAATTTGATTGGAAAACTTTTCACACTGCCTGATCACCATAGTGCACAAAGGTATCATGACCAATCCCTCTGGGGCAGAATCACAAGAAGTTCTCCGTAAGTTATGGAACATTTTCTGTTTCCTATATGACTTCTGATTATATAATTCTCGGGATCTTACATATACTCATTTGTTGCCTTAAACAGCTGCCCTTGAAAGTCGACTTCTAGATTTTGATGATAGAGTGAGAACACAAGCAGTAGTTGTTGCCTGTGATCTTGCCATGTCTAATATGATATGCTTTCCTCCCAAAATAATATCTCAGACCACTGAAAGACTTCTGGACAAGAAGGTATTTCTACAGCAAAAAGTTTCAGTTTGCTAAGTTACACATGCTGTCTTGTATTTATAATTGCTTGTTTTATTTGCAGATACCTATTAGAAAGAAAGCTCTGCAGAAGTTGATGGAAGCATATCGAGATTATTGTAACAAATGCTTTGAAGGCAACATGACGATAAGTGACCACTTTGAACAGATTCCATGTTAAATATTGATGCTATGCTTTGATAAAGATTGTATGGATTTCAGGTTTGTTTTTTCACATGCTCTATCTTTTTAAAATAAACCAATGCATTAAAAGGTGGTAGTTGACTATTATCATTTTTCTTATTGTTTTACTTTAGGTCCCAAAATATGGAGCTTGTTCTTGCAGAAGATCTATTTCCAGCTGTTCTTTCAGTTGAGGAAATTACAAGGCACTGGATCCACTTGTTCTCTCTTTTCACCCTGCTTCATACGAAGGCTTTGAACTCTATTTTATTTCAGAAACAAAGGTATTATCACTAACTTACTCTTGCTGCAGTTAATGTGAATGATCTGTTCTTTACAACGTACAAATGTTTTATAGGTTGCAAAATGAGATGCAAACTTATTTGGCCAATCGAAAGAACGAGAAGGTACAGTACTTGAAACTCACACTTGATAAGGATGACTTTTATATACCTATTGAAATGTGAATACATATTGCATTGTCCATTATCGGGATGCTGTGTCTTCTTGAGATAATTTATGTTCTTGGAAATGCATGCTTAACTGATGTCTGGAAAATTTTAATTTGTAAATCACGATTATGAATTTAGAGTAGACGCAAGTCCATTTATGCGAAAACACACAGCTTGAGGCTGGATTCTTACTAAAATCCAAAAGTGAAAAATCTTGGTAAGGAAACTTGTTCTTACAAAGCCTTTGTGGAATATATAGACTTGTTATGCTGATGTTACAAGCAATTGCTTCCCTCATTTTTTTGAGTATTGGTTCACCACGTGGAAGATTTTTTTTTCCCTCATTTCCTGTTTTTGGCTTGATTTTGGTATTTTTAGTAATGAAAATATGTCCTAGTGTTCAATTAGGCATCACACACACTGTGACTGCTTCTAGAGCCCAAAATGTGGCTTAGCATTATCTTGAAATTTTTCTTTCCTGGAAAAATCAATAACTAGTAGATGTTAAGCTTCCTTTGAGATATCTTTCAACAGCAATTTTCAAAGCATTCAGCATACACCATTGTGTGACCGCCGTATGCCATTGAAGCTCAAGGGAAAATTTTATAGGACGGCAATAAGGCCGGCGATGCTGTATGGCACAGAATGTTGGGCGGTGAAGCATCAACACGTACACAAAATGGGTGTAGCGGAGATGAGGATGCTTCGTTGGATGTGTGGGCACACAAAAAAGGATAAGATTAGGAATGAGGATATCCGGGGTAAAGTAGGAGTAGCCGAAATTGAAGGAAAGATGAGAGAAAATCGGTTACGGTGGTTTGGACATGTGCAAAGAAGGCCTACTGACGCTCCGATTAGAAGATGCGACTATGGGACAGAGGTTCAAGGTCGAAGGGGTAGAGGAAGACCTAGGAAAACTTTGGAAGAGACTCTAAGAAAAGACTTAGAGTACTTGGGATCTAACGGAGGACATGAGACACAGGACCGAGCACAATGGCGTTCAAAGATTCATATAGCCGATCCCACTCAGTGACTTGGATTTTCCAAGTCTCCAACCGAAAAGTTTTCCTCACTCGGGAAATTAAGGGAATACTACCTCAACCTACATGCTCCACTCACAAAGCTTCAACATATAAGCTTCAACAAAAGAAAATTCAAAGAACTTAGCGAAGAAGGCTTTGGTGTATTTAACACACAATACGTTGAAATGAAGGAAAGCTATTATTGATTGATATCCCCGATAAGTTACAAATATGTACATATACATGAGTCAAAATAAACAAACAAGAGGGAGCCTTCACAAAGGTTGCTTAGGAGAAGTCTCAGCAGTCGGTAGAGCCCCAGAAAGAGCAGGCACTGGAGGGGGATCATTTGGAGCCTCATTACTGGACAGAACCCTAGAAGGAGGAGGCAGCAGAGGTTGATCATTTGGAGCTTCATTACGCGGTACAGCCCCAGAAGACGAAGGCAATAAATGCCTTTGGAACAAACCCACAAATCTCTGATGATCAAGTAAAACCTGACCATCAGATTCCTTCATCTGGTCAAGCTTCCTCTTCATGTTTGTAGCATAGTCATGTGCTAGCCGGTGCAACTGTTTATTCTCATGCCTGAGCCCTCTAATCTCCTGTTTGAGACTCATCACTTCAGTCGCCAATGATTCAACTTGGCGGGTTCGAGCAAATAGGCGTTGGGCCATGTTAGACACAGAACCTGCACACTGAACACTGAGAGCCAGAGAATCCTTAACAGCCAACTCATCAGACCGTTTGGAAAGTAGTCTGTTATCTTTGGGAGTGAGAAGGTTCCTGGCCACTACCGCAGCGGTCATATCATTCTTCATCACGGAATCCCCAACGGTAAGAGGACCAGTAGGGGAGACGAAGGATGGGCGCCATATGTTGTCTGGAGAAGGCGTGGCTGCCTCTTCAACAAGGTTCAAGTCAAAACGACGGTCGGAAGGGCAGACATTTTCAAAGGTGTTGAAGAGAGAAGAGGTCGGACAAATCAAGATCTTAGAAGTGCAAGAATGGAGCTTCTACTGGTGGAGATTCAAGTGTGCTTTGGAACTTAATGCCAGCCTCTATAAAAAATCTGCACTCGACGGAGCTTCAGAAATCGAAGAGGCGTTTGCTTTTCTCAAAAGCTGGGCTGCTCAGAGACCACGAGACGTTTGCTTTCTCAAAAGTTGGGCTGCTCAAAGACCACGAAGGCCGATCTCAGAAATCGAAGAGGCGCTTGCTTTCTCAAAAGCTGAGCTGCTCAGAGACCACAAGGGCCGATCTCAGAAATCGAAGAGGCACCTACTTTTCCAGCCTTGTCAGCACCTGTCACACGCACACTCAGCTTTGCGGAAATTATGGGCAGTATGTCGAAGATTTCTGGTGAAGTAGAAAGCACATGAATCTTACTGTTCAATCACCCACTTCCCACACGCAACATTAGCTCATGGGTACCACAGATAACTTTGCCAAAGTTCTCTGACAAAGTTGAGACACGTGAAGCTTGTAGCTCCCACTATATCGCTCTGACCAAGAAGGGTAAAAGAATAGCAAAGAAACAGCACTAACAAAGTTTAGACACATAAATTTTGAAGGTCTAGCTACCATATTATTACCCACAAGGGTAAAGGAACAGTACCACTGCTGGATAATTGGAAAGTCCCTGTGTGTCAACCTCTGTGCTTCGTGGCAAGGTAGACTAGCAAACATGCCCAACCTTTTCTTACATTCAAGAAAACACTCCCAACAAGATTGCTTGCTCTAAAATCGAAGAGGCACCGCCCTCCGAATCTCGAGAGCCAGACTCCCAACATGATTACTTTCTCAAAAATCGAAGAGACACCGCTCTCCGAATCTCGAGAGCCAGACCTCTAGCAGGATTGCTTTCTCAAAAATCGAAAAGGCATCGTCCTCCGAATCTCGAGAGCCAGATCTCCGACAGGATTGCTTGTTCGAAAACCGAAGAGGCACCACTTTCCCAACTTCAAGAGCCGGATCTCCTTGGATAAAGCTTGTCTGTAATCTTCACACGCAACATCAGCTTTCCAGATACCACAGACCACTTTTTCAAAGTGCTCTGACAGAGTTAAAACATGTGAAGCTGGCAGCTCCCACTACCGTGCTATGACCAAGCAGGGTAAAGGAATAACATTACTACTTGTTGTTAGGGAGACTCCTATATATGTTGACCTCCATCCCCAAGGACAGGCAGACCTGCAAAAATGCTCAACCCTTCCTCATATCTAAGAGTGCACTCTCAAAGAAGCCTTTCGAAATATTCAGCTTTCTTTCCCCCCGATAATACCTCTGCAAACAAGCTATACTAGAGCAAGAATATCTCATATCATCAGGGTTAAAAGCAAGAGTATCCCATATCATGCTTTTTCCCTGTCTTTTCCTTTGGCCTTGTTCTTATCTGCAAAACAAGGAGAAAGAGAGCAATCAGTCAGCACTTGGAATCAAGCTTCCAGTCAGGAACTGACTGCCTGGAACCCCTTACTTGATTACTTACCTGACATTGCTCTCGAGTACTCATCTTCAACATCTTATGCTTCCAGGGAAGATACCGCATCTGCCTGAGGAACAGATAGGGCAAGTGAGAAGGATACAAGGAAGCATGTGGAGACAAGCGTAACAGCACACGTGTCGATACATCTACTACTCTGTCAAAAGCAAAAGTATCCCATATCAGCAGGGTCGAACGTACTATAGATTTGATGGACTTGTTTTGACCCTCAAATTCTTCAGTCGGCCTTATACTCTGGAGGAAACCAGAAAACCCTCCAGCCCAGTTTAAGAATAAGCCTGTGGAAAGTTACTTCTTCAAAAGCAAAAGTATCTCATATCATCTCTTCTCATTTTTCTTCTCTTTATCCTTCATACTGCCTGCAAGATAGGGAGAATGTGAACAATCAGCCGGAACTCGAAATCAAAGTTCTGATCTGGGACTGATTGCTTGGAGCTCTGATTGCTTACCTTGTCTGTCACCTCTTTCAGCAGATCCCCTAGCTCGGCGACTTGGGGGACTCCTACTACATGGTTTGTATCGCGCTTGACCAAGCCTAAAACTACAAGTAAGCTTCAAGTGAAATTGATACATTACCTTGTGCATCTCCACCAGTTAAAGATACCACCCCTGGATGGAGGAAGAGTACTTCCAGAGAAGATGCCACATCTACCTACGAGACAGATAAGGCAAGTTAAGACGATACCATACTCCGGTACTTAGAAGTTTCGTGATTACGAGATCATTCTCCCACAATATTTCCTAATGTCATTTGTACTAAATCATTCACTTGTACTCACTAAAGGAGAGCTTGAACCTATATACTGTGTAAACCCTTCACAATTAATGAGAACTCCTTTACTCCGTGGACGTAGCCAATCTGGGTGAACCACGTACATCTTGTGTTTGCTTCCTGTCTCTATCCATTTACATACTTATCCACACTAATGACTGGAGCAATCTAGCGAAGATCACAAACTTAATATTTAAGATGATATTCTTTGGTGTATGCTTTTCGCAAACGACATAGTGTTGATAGATGAAACGCAAGAAGGGGTAAACGCGAAGCTTAACCTTTGGAGAGAAGTGTTGGAATCCTCGCCTAAGCCGATCAAAGACAGAATATATGGAGTGCAAGTTCAGTGCAAACAGAGGCCAAAATGAGTTAGGGGTGAGGATCGGAGATCAGGAAATACCAAAGAGCAACCGTTTTCGCTACCTAGGATCTATCTTGCAAAAGAACGGAGAATTTGATGGAGATCTCACCCATAGAATACAAGCTGGATGGATGAAGTGGAAGAGTGCATCCGTCGTGTTGTGTGACCGTCGTAGGCCACTGAAGCTCAAGGGAAAATTTTATAGGACGGCAATAAGGCCGGCAATGCTGTATGGCATAGAATGTTGGGCGGTGAAGCATCAACACGTAGGTGAAGTGGAGTTGAGGATGCTTCGTTGGATGTGTGGGCACACGAGAAAGGATAAGATTAGGAATGAAGATATCCGAGGTAAAGTAGGAGTAGCCGAAATTGAAGGAAAGAGGAGAGAAAATCGGTTACGGTGGTTTGGACATGTGCAAAGAAGGCCTACTGACTCTCCGGTTCGAATATGTGACCACGGGATAGAGGTTCAGGGCCGAAGGGGTAGAGGAAGACCTAGGAAAACTTTGGAAGAGACCCTAAGAAAAGACTTAGAGTACTTGGATCTAACGGAGGACATGACACAAAACCGAGCGCAATGGCGTTCTAGGATTCATATAGCCGACCCCACTTAGTGGGAAAAGGCTTTGTTGTTGTTGTTGTTGTATATATTAAAAAGAGCTTGTACATGGTGCACACAATCCAAGGAAAATATAAAAAGGGTCAAATCAAGGATTTTTATTCTGTAACATGTGCATGGATTCTGAAAGTCAAGTATGTTAGTTTTTCTAATGTGCGTGCGTGACTATTCCTTATACGTGACAGGAGTAACTGGTCAAATTGTTAAAATACCCCAACCTTTAATATACATGCTATGATATTTGGGCTTCTTACTTTTGCTATTTGCTTATACATTGTATATTCCTTTAGCATCAGTTAAATGAGAAATAGATGCCTTTCCTCTCCGTTCCTTTTGTTAAATATAAAGCCTTTTGAAATCTAAACCTTTTTTTCTTAAATGTTTAGAGAGTGGCTTTAACTTTTTTTTCTTCCTTTGAAGTGAAATCCACCACTTTGTGGAGATGGCTTGTCTGGAGGGGACTCGCGTTCAGTCAAAATATGCTGTTTCAGCAATTGCTGCTTTAATTGATAATTCGAAGCAATTCATTTTCCAAGATCTATGTAAGGTATGCTTAGCTTGAGTTTGGAGTTTTAGGTTCGTTTATCCATATTTATCGTTAAGTATCTTTCAGCTCAGTGTTTTAAAACACTCCCCGAGGTGCGCCTAGGCGGCCTTGTAGGCGGGGCGGGAGTGATAACGCCTCTACCCAATGGAAACTAGCCTAGGTGTAGTCGAGGCGCGCCTAGGCGGCTGAGGTGAGCTTAAAGCCGGGTGGCTGGCGTTCCCAAATCCATCAGTGACCTGAAATTGAAGTCGAATGGCTCTGTCGTCTGGGTAAATTGAAGTTGAAGGCTCTATCGTCTGGGTTTAGGGTTGCATTGTGTGGTGGCCTCTTCATGAGGAAGAGGACCCGAAGAAGAGGAAAATTATTATTATTTTTTTTAAAGACTTGGCCCAAAACAACGTCAGTTTGGCCAAGTCTTTAATTTTTTTTTAAATGACTTGACCCAAAATGACACCATTTTGGGCAAGTCTATTTTTTCTTTTATTTTTAAAACCCACAGCAGTCCCCAATTATTTAGGTCTCGTAAGGCTTCACCTCACGCCTCAAGGCTTTAGCCTAGGCAGGGGTATCCATGAAATGCCACGCCTACGCCTTCGCCCTTTAAAATATCGTTTCAGCTTCACATAAACTAGGTTATATAGATAATCTATTTATATTTCTAAATCACATACACTTTATGGCGTTCATTTGCCTCCTAATAAGTATTTAGGGAGAATGACAAGTCATCCATTTCAGTTACTGTAAAATAGTTAGTTATATCTAAATGTGATTAGCTATGCTAATGGTTGTAATTAGTTTGGGTTGTTATAAGGTTAGGCAGTTAAGAGGTATTGTTGTAAATAGCCAAAGGCTATATATATATATATATATATCCTCACAGTGTACAATTATGATGTTAAGAAAATACAATTAGAAAACTTACAGAGGAAGTTTTCTGTTTCTATATGGTATCACGCCATTTTGCTTAACAGCATCGATTCCTCCTTCCGCTCAATCGATCGATCGATTCTTGCTCAATTCTCTGTTCTTCTCCTCCGATTCTTCAATTCTTCTTCTCCGATCTTTCTTGCCTTGTGATTTCTGCAAGATATGGTGGCGCAACCCTCAAGACACCGCCTGAATCATCTTTTCCGTCGATCCAAAACCCTAATTTCTCTGGTAATCCAAGTCCTCTAAGTTCCTACACCTCTCTTACAATTCATAACATCGGCAGCATGGTGCCGATTAAGCTGAAAAGATCAAACTACCTGCCATGGCGTGCATTGTTTGGCCCAATCCTCAGGCGATACAAGCTTCTTGGAATCATTGATGGAACTGAAGCATGTCCACCGCCATTCTTGCCTGATCGCAGCATCAACCCTGCATTTGAGGAATGGTATGAAAAAGATCAAAATCTTTTGATTTGGTTTAATTCCACACTTTCTGAGGAAATCATCCCTTTCACGATTGGGGTTTCCTCTTCTCGCGACCTTTGGGTGAAGCTTGAACAGAGATTTGGTGGAATTTCAGAGGCTCACATTCATCAATTGCGATCGCGTCTTCAATCGGTTCAGAAAGGATCTCACTCTATCTCTGAGTATCTTCAAGAAATTAAGGAAATCTCCGATTCCTTGCAAGCTGCTGGTGCCTCTGTCTCTGATCGAGATCTTATTGCAGCCACTCTTCATGGCTTGCTTGATGAATTTAAGTCTTTCATAGACTCAATCATGCTTCGATTGTCCTCTACCTCTCTTGATGAGCTCCATGGTCGTCTTTTTACCAAGGAATTGTCTATGGCTCGACGCAAAAATGTCAGTTCATCTTTTGCAACTGATCCTTTTCAAGCTTTCTCGGTGCAATCTCAACCCCCTCTATTACCCACTCCATCTGTGTTTGCTGCTCAGCACCAACTCCAATCATGGCACCAACCAAAATCTCACAATCGTGGAAAGAATAATCGGGGCAATTCCTTCTCTCATAGAGGCAATCGCAACTTCCATAACAACCGTGGTCATTACTCCAACAATCGTGGCAATCGCAGTTATCAAAGCCCTCGCCAAGCTCAAGGTTCTTCCACTTTCAAAGTTCCTTGTCAAATCTGTGGATCTACCAGTCATAAGGCTATTGATTGCTTTGATCGCATGAATCCAGACATTTGTGGTCTGATTCCTCCAGCCAAACTCGTTGCTATGTATGTCAATCACTCTATCAAACCATCTCCATCTTGGTTGATTGACTCGGGTGCCACCTTTCACATTACCAATGATGTTGCCAATATTTCTTCTCCTACTCCCTATACTGGCGAGGACAAAGTGTATATTGGTGATGGTAAAGGACTTTCTATTCATCATATTGGTTCATCATTCTTGCATACTCCTCATACTTCTTTTCAGCTCCGAAATGTTTTACATGTTCCATACATGAAACATAATCTCTTGTCTGCCTATCAGTTTCTTAAGGATAATAATTGTTCATTGACCTTTGACCCTTATGGATCCAATGTCAAGGATCGTATTTTGGGGAAGATGCTTTTGTGGGGACCGGTTAGAGATGGATTCTATCCTTTTCAAGACTCAAGTACTTCTTCAAATTCATCACATACAACTTTGCTCAGTATTAAAGCTCCTGTTAAAGTTTGGCACCGGCGCTTGGGTCATCCTTCCTCCTCTATTCTCAGAAGTGTAATCTCTAATCATACACTGGCATTACACGGCAAGTCCACTGTTGATTTCTTCTGCTCAGATTGTGCACTTGCAAAGAATCACAAGCTTCCTTTTGGAGTAGCTTCTTCAAACAACTCAAAGTCTTCAACTTTTGCACTGTGATATGTGGGGTCTAGCATCTGTTATTTCAAATAGTGGTTTCAAGTACTATTTGCTTCTTGTTGATGACTTTAGCAAATATAGCTGGTTCTTTCCTTTGAAGTCCAAGTCCGATGTATTTTCTACATTTGTTGTCTTCAAATCTAAGGGGGATACTTAAACAACTCCTTAGGGTCAAATTCATTGTTTTGGACCCTTACTTCAACAAACAATACTTTGGAACTCTTTTTCTCAACTTTTCAACTCTTTTTTCGTTCTTCTCATATTTTTTTTCTTCAATTTTTCTTTTTCCACGAAATTTTTTTTTTCTTTTCTTTTCTTTGCCGTGCCTATGGCACACAATTCCTCATGAAAAACACTTCCCCCACACTTATTTTCTACTAACATAGATCAAAAGGAATTCAATTCGAATCATGCTTTACCATGCTTTAAGAACAAGGGTATGGATAGTCCTAATCTAGGCTAGGTGAGGGTAATGTAGGTTAACAAAGAAAAGACTAAACAAAGCTCAACGGGGTTAAAAACCTACAAAACATAATAACAGAGGGGATTTACAGCTTTTTGGCTATGGTTGTGGTCACTACACAACTTTATCTTGAATATGTGTTATGCAATTCAATGACATGCTTTGAATGAAGTGGGCATGAGTTCTAGCATTTGGAACTAAATGATGAAACGCCTTCTAAGTAATAACCAAGCAAAGAATAATGAGATCATGCAACGATTTTAGAAATCAACAATGCACAGATTTTAACTCTCCAAATAAACGTTTAGGCTCAAGTCTCACAAGGTTGTAGCGTTTGTTTGAGTTCCTTCCTTCAAGCATGTTACAAAAAACTGATTTTTTTCCTTTATGATTACATGTGAATTCATAAGTTATAACCACAACTAAGCATAAACAAAGAGTAAATCAAACTTTCATCCATGTTAATCACTCTCTTTAACAGCCATGTAATTACAAACCGAATCCTCATCATTGTGTTGGAAGGTACCCTAAGACACAAACAAACACACAAAAACAACTCTTTTTGGGTTTTTAAAACAAATTTTTCAAATTTTTATGTAATTTTCGGATTTTTACTTCAAAACACACTAAAACACATCAAAACTGCTCAAAAACACTTAAAAACAGCAAGGAACAAGTCTTCAAGTTTAGGGTGATAAAATCCCACGAATTTGCATCTAAAACACTTAGTTACCCCCCCACACTTAAATCAAACATTGTCCTCAATGGTTCAAGCATAAAATCACACTAAACAAAAAGAAACACACAAACAGCAACTAAAACAACTAAATAGGCAGATTCGAAATAAATAACAAAGGGAAGAGTTTAGGAACGCAAATCTAGAATTGGAGTGATTCCTTGGTCTTCCTTTGTTGAATTGCATGGGTTGCCTCCCAAGTAGCGCTTTCTTTTACGTCTTGCAGCCGGACGAAAGGCCCATTCACTCTCCATTTGTGCCCACGGCACCCAAAGAAATATCCTCCACGGTTTGTTCAACAAAGTTCTCATAATATGGCTTCAAACGGTGTCCGTTCACTTGGAATTCATGACCTGTTTTGATACTTTGAATCTGGATGGCACCATAAGAAGATATGTTAGTAATAACAAACGGTCCAATCCACTTAGAACGTAACTTACCGGGGAACAAACGTAAACGGGAATTGAACAATAGCACTTTCTGCCCAATTGAGAATGATTTCCCACGGATCATGTTGTCATGGAAAGCTTTGGTCTTTTGCTTGTAAATGCTTGCATTATCGTACGCCTCATGCCGTATCTCATCAAGCTCATTCAATTGCAATCTCCTTTGACTTCCTGCTTCCTCGAGGTTCATGTTAAACTTCTTGATGGCCCAAAGTACTTTGTGCTCCAATTCAACAGGAAGATGGCACGCCTTGCCATAGACAAGTCGGAAGGGGGACATCCCAATGGGTGTTTTGTACGCCGTACGATACGCCCAAAGTGCATCATCTAACCGTAAACTCCAATCCTTCCTCGTTGGCCCAACGGTCTTCTCTAGGATTTGCTTGATCTCACGGTTGGAAACCTCGGCTTGCCCATTAGTTTGAGGATGGTAAGGTGTAGAAACCTTATGGGTGACACTGTATTTCCTCAATAACACTTCAATGGTCCGATTGCAAAAATGTGACCCTCCGTCACTAATGATCACTCGTGGCATTCCGAACCTTGCAAAA